TCTGAGACAAATACAGTTATCTATTATTTGTTCTCCTAGGACTCATTTCTTCTAATCAACTGGCTACAGTGCAGATGATGCTGTGTTTTTCTGTGTTAATTTCTGCTTATTCATTAAGTGTTCTTCCAGAAGCTTATTTTAGGAGGGTGCACTTAAAATTTTCAGCATGCATTGGTGACTGTCCCTTAATTTCTAGATATGCAATTTTACATGTTGATTAAGACCTGTGAATGAAATCTTTGCCCATCTCAAATAAGCCCCTGTGCTCTGTTGACACTGCTCCCACTGGTAATGTAACTTCAAAGCTTTCCCTGTGGGAAAGAGGAATCTGGTAGACAAACAATTCTCTGAAAATCCTTCAGCTTCCATTTCTGGTTTCAAACTGGCATGCCTTAATTACAAAGTCTATCATTTCAGGGAAGGGGACTTTTTTGCAATTACCTTATTTTGCTGCTGCATATGCTGTTCCTGATATAACTGACCTGATAGAGACAGCCTGAACATTTTAGTGAGGCACAAAGTAATCTTTGGTTGCTACAGTACCTGTAGTGGTACTGTGATTAGATCTAATCCTTTGGACATTTTTGAGGGAATGAAAACAGACTTTAGCCTGGGACAGAGAGGATGAGACAGGAATGGGGAAGTGTGGAACCCTGACTAACAAAAAGGGAGGTTATTTTATTTGTAGAAAAAATATTTCTGTGGTCCACAAAGTAAAGTATCTCTAATTGAATTGTTTGTACACTTAGTGGAAGGTAAGTGTTCCAAATGACGTATGAGTAAAAGTGTATTTTGGTTTTTTTTAATTTTTGATCCTCTTAGATTCACTATGGTAAATGTTTATAAATAGGCTCTTCTTTGTTACTGCAAGGTCTTAGAAATTATAAACCAAAAGTCAGTACAGGTAGCTTTGCTGTAATGTAATGGTAGTTGCCTTGTGAAGTACCATAGCAAAAACAGACTGCATCCTGCCCACAGCGTAATGTGGGGATGTACAGGTCCCATTCCATCAGAAAGCTTGTGGTAGATCTCTCAGCACTGAGCCTCCTATCTGAACTCCACAGCAAGGGTAACACCGTACATACTTCAACATAAACACCAAAAGGAAGCAGCACTTTATAGCTCTCAGTTCTTGGTTCAACCAAGCTGGTTTTGAAATTACAGGCAAGATTCTTTTCAAGTCATTCTTATGAATAACGACCAAATCAGTTATATTTCAGTGCTAAGCAGCAACCACCAACACCCATGGTTGTCTTTTTAGCCACTTCCTCCATGTGGTTGTTTTCTTGCCCTTAGGTAGTTCTTCCTGCATTTTGAGGATGCTGGACTAACGCCTTTCTCATCACACCTTGCACAGTCAGGCATTGGATTTATGATAATAATACTGACAGCAATTGTAAGGATGTTTTTTAAGCTTTCCTTGAATGAGCTCTCTGCTGCACAGCAGCTTTCAATCACGACCAGGACATAGCTGAATTATTCAGATAGGATCACACATGCTTATTCAGTTCTGCCAAGGAGGCAGTGACGGGTGTGAAATCACCTTAGCACTGACTGCTCTGACCAGGAGTAAGGAGCTGAATAGGAAGTGTCACTCCAAGCTGACTATCTTGTTACACCTCACAGAGAAAGAAGCTTTTACAGGTTGACCCTCGAAGGCTTAAATTCACCAGGCAGTCCCTGCTTCCTCCTCTACCCCTGTATGGACTCAGAAATAGGGAAAGCTCATTCCTCTAGAGAGGTGATGGTTAAATTCTCATTACAAGTCTCAATGAGAATTTTTTTATCTGTAAGGTAGTCAGCCACAGCACTCAGCCTGCCTAGTGCTGTGGTAGGATGTGACCTTGGTTTGGGCTCAAAGGGGACAGGTGTTTGCTGATCACCTTTACAGATATCCAGCTTAATACCTCTTGCGTCTCATAAAAAGAATTGTTCCTCTTTTTTCCAGCCAGTGGAAATTAGACTCTATAGGTTTGATGTCACTGTGTTTGAAATACATATCTCTCAACAGTTTTTGGGGCAGAACAGTGATTAGTGATGTTTGTATTATTAACATAAAATCCCATACAAAGAATGCTTTTTTCCTGGATGAACTTTTCTTTTTTTTTGATCACTTTCTATCTTTACATTCTAACTACTAATCTCATTGCTTCCTATGGATGATGCAAAACACAACAATTTATTTTCCACTCTACATGAAGTGGTTACAGCAATGCACCTGCCTCAGGTGAGTGGTTTCTATATTTAACCAGACAACATAAAATTGCTTTGAACACAGCTCACTTTTACTGGTAACTAGCAGCAGGTATAGATGAGTATTTTGTCTCAGCTGTTCTGGCTTAAATTAAGACAATAGAAGATCAAATGCAAAGGAAGGACATAACAGTAGTGTGATGCAAGCTCAAAAGGTTTCTGCATTAAAATCATTTGGGACCAGGTTCAATCATACAAATTACAGCAGTGATGAAGTACTGTGTAGAACTTTCATCGAATACCAGTTGCCAGTGTTCTGTTTGAGGGAACCACTTCAGATCATAAAATAAATGGTTCTTTCTCATTATACGCTCACCTGTCCTGCTGAGTTTATAGAAAACAGTGTGTCTTAGTATTTATCCCATATTCAGCATTTTGAAGTGTGTTGTGTACAGGTTACTTGGGTTCTACAGTTCTCAATTATTATTGGAGAGATGGGTTTTCTTATTTCTCCTGTGGCATCAGACTACACTTGAGTCTTTCTCTCACAAAGCATGGCTCCTGCCATCATGTTGTCTCTGTAGGTACCTGCCTATCCCCTATGTTTAGCCATAGTAATTTCATAACCTGTGGGCTGTTTTCAGTTCAATTTGATAGAGTAGCAGAAATTGCAAAGGTAGTTTGGTTCTTCTAAACTTTGCAAAATTAGGGATAGAAGTAGCTGAGGGAATGGGCAAGTGCTCTGACAGAAGATAGCATAATTCAGATCTGACTTGACACTTCCGTGGAAGGACGACCTTGTTAGGGCCTTGCCTGGTACAAAGTTTCTACTGAAGCTAGAAATCACCCATGAGATATTTGGACACCTTGATTTCTGTCACTGTGTTGACTTTAGGCAGTCACTCTGTTCACATGACTCAGAAAACATCTGGAAACTCAGACTGCCTGGCAGATGTTCTCCTGCATCCATCCAGTTAACGTCTATACAGAGACAAACTTGACTCCAGCTTTCTGTGACTCCTCTTCCTCTCTGCCCATTCTCCCTCTCCTCCAGGACCTCTGTTGTCTCTGGACTCAGGGAGCTCCAGTGTTTGTGTGGTTTAGGGGCTTTTTTCCTCAAAAAAGTTGCAGTACTCAGAAACTGCTTAGAGAAACTGCTCCCCATTGCACCAGAAGCAAAGGTCCTGTGTCCTGAGGCCTCTACTTAAACACCCATGACCAGCATAGATGTACTTGAATTTCTCTTTAGTTTAGAACTATTCTTTGGTTTTGTTGCTGATAAGTTACTGCCTGTGTATCTGTGCTGTGCAGAAAAAGCATAGAGACAAAACCTGTAGGTGGCAACATGAAGATGTGTTGGAAAAGGCATTAAAGAAGGGTCTAAAGTCACTTGTGTTAAAGTGCTGAAAGAATATGTGAAGATAAATAGGGGGAGCAAGTTCACAGGGTAAATATTTTCCCCAGTTATTAATAAATGCAAATGGAGGTGTTTAATATTCAAATGCTGTGAGAGCCATTTGCTCATTGTCATGAGTGGCATGTATTTGATAACATGAAATAAGCACCTCATCCTCCGCCGCTACTCATGCGTGCACAATCCTTCCCATTTAATTCAGCAAGACTAATTATCTGAATTAGTGACATTAGCTTGAAGCTATGGATTTTCAGATTGAGTCTCTGGCTTTCAGAACAACTTCTTTAAAGGAATTAGTCGTGTCTAAGTACAACAGAACTGTCAAATTGCATCCCCTGGCTTTGTCTGATGTTTTGGTTGTGAAACCAGCCTTATGCAAGACTGTCCTCGTGGCAATAGACAGTGGTTATTCCAATTTTATGGCTCTGACAACCCTAAAATGGCTCATAAATGTTGGGCAGTTACCTCACTAGCTAATAGCAGATGACAGCTGATAGCACTTCATTTTACCTCCCACCTTATTATGGACTTTGTCATCCACACTCCAGGGGTGTCTGCTATCTGTCTGCAAAGCAACTCCTGAACTAACCCCCATTTTGGTTTAACTTACCATGCAGGCATGAAAACTGCAGCTAATTTGCAAACAGATCACACAGCCCTGCCTCGGCAGCAGTAACATCCATCAGAGAGGCAGGGCAGAAAACAGCAGCACTTCAGGAATGGGTGCACAAGTGGCTTGGGCATCACTGCCTGCAGAGCTGCAATATCCCTGGGACTAGCACAGTGCACAGCTGGAGCAGGTGCATCTTTTGAGTTTTACTGTATATCCATTTCAAATAAAAGGGGATGTTTGTCCTTACAGTCCTCCGTTTTGCTATATATTGTAGAGTTTCAGCATCTTGATCATGCCTGCACTGTTACTGAGGAAAATAGTGGAAGGTTTAGGATCTGGAACACCAGCTGATTGAGCAGCACAGGGAAGGGGGACAGAAGACACAGGCCATGACTGTGTTTAACTGTGAGGTCTTTAAGTCTATACATCATTTGTCACCCCTTATCTTTGAATGAACTGTTCATAATTAAGTAGTGTGACTGAAGATGTGAAATCCTACATGGCAAATGCTAAACTTGCACCTCATTTATCTCTTTCAAGGGTTTAATGAATTTTCAGCTTCAGCTAATGAATAATGGCAATTTCAAGCCCATTGTCCTATTCAGGGAAATTAATAAGGGCCTAAGGATAGGCCTAGGAGCATGATAGAGATTGCAAAAAAAAAAAAAACACCAGAATATGTGTTTCTTTTTAGAAGATCTAATTTTTAAATACAAATTCATTCCAGTCACTATACAGTGTATATTTGCAAAGAGCACTGAAAACACAACACACAGAATCTGCTCTTTGGAGGTAAAGGTGAGCAAAAATTGCCTTCCTTCACCTGCCTTTTTATTATAAGTTTACCATACATCTTGTTTTACCTAACAGGTCCTCCTTGTTGATGCAGAAATTTTGACCAGGCTTGAAAAAGCCTTTTAATTGTTACAAATATGTTAACAACACTCAAAAGAAACATGGGACCCCAATCCTTTCTTCAAAGATGTTCTCAAATAAGGTGCAATAATAGGAACCAGGAAACTTCCAAACTCAAGAACTTGGCAGAAAGAACATTTGTCATCACCATTTTTTTAGAAAAGGAGTAGTGAATGTTTCCATGAATTCCTAACTCCAAGGAGTAAGAAAAAAACCAACTCACAGTAGTAGCTGTGGATTCAGCTGGTTTGGGAATCCAAGACCAAGTACAGAAGTTTAAATGATGAAAGCAAAGCATGGACATGAAGAGATGTACACTACATTGCCTACTATTGATTTGTTCCCAGTACTTGAAAAAACACAAATGCACCTGAAGTACGGAGCTATACGTGAAGCACATGTGCTCTACATCTCTTACCCACCCAAAATAACTGATTTTCATTTCTTACTTGTCTCTCAGAAGTGTAGCTAAAGGAAGTGTTGAGAAGTAAAAATGTGGTTTTCAGTCACAGAAGCAGGAATGTACATTTTAGAACAATTGTTTAGTCAAAAAAAATATTTTCCTGAAAACACTGGATTTTTTTTTTAACTCAATCTGCTTAAAGTTCACGATTGTTTTTCTTAAACTTCTTATTCAATTTACTAGGAGTTAGATCTTAGTTCTGAGTATAAAATATGCAGAGAATTAGTGTATTAATTTTGGGTTTAGACAGTTGGATGAGATAAAGTCGTCTTATCAAATACATAATGTCAAATACATAACACACCATATCCTAACATAGATACAAGATGGGTAGGATTTAATAGCATGTCCTTGTCTGTTGCTGGAGGTAAGTTCCAGACTTCTGTAGCTGGTCCACATAAGATCTGATGTTGTCACTAGAAAAGATGGAATAAATTGCTTTTAGGAAAAAAAGAAAAAAAAAATCACAACATTATTTTAAAGATCCTGTCAACAGCTGCAGTCTTCAGATTTGCAAGCTTTTGCAAATGTTTTCTTCTGGAAGTACAGCCCCTGAACCAGATTCCTGCATATGCTGTATAGGCTTGCCATCTCAGAATTATCACTAATCAGGAACAATGAAAAGAATTATTCTACTTTATCCATAATGGATTTTGTAACTTCTAGCTTGATGTCTTTGCTGCTACATGCCTTCATAAAAACTCTGAATGCCAATTTCTGTCACATTAGCATTAGGAAATTTATTTCAGTCTGGGAGTTAACTAGCCTTGCTTTGAAATCATTAACGTGCTTCGGTGGGAGTGCCTGTGAATGTGTTTCTGTAAACTGGCTTTAATCCTGTCATACGGCAATCATTAGGATTATCATTCTGGAGGAATAACTCGTCTTGGAGTATGCCTGGCAGCTGCTGTGATCACAGCCTTCAGACATATGTACCCAACAACTAATAATTAGACACAGTTAGGTGTTTTCTATCTGAATAATTTTTCTGATGGAAAAGAGGGTGGGTTTTTTTTCCAGAGAACTGAGTAAAGTGTCTTCAGGTAATTTCAGATCTGTCATAAGGCACAAGTGAGTGCTGCTATCCAAGAGAGCTGCCACCCATATCAGTACTAGAAATTGTAAGAGAATAACCTGGTGCTTCCTTCCAGTTGCCCAAGGCTTAGCAGGAGGGTAGGGAAATCATGGCTTTCAGCTATTCTTTCCTACTTTGCTTCTGCTCAGAGTGAGTGAAACTGGTGTCACCTTTTAGGCAGAACAGTCCTGTAGAGCTCAAACTGGGACTCTCCAAATCAAATTCTTATCTTATTAAAAAAAAAAAAAATCCTTTCAATAGCCACACTTCAAAAGGAAACTCGCTTTCAAAAAGAATGCTACTTTTAAGTCAATTAAATTTAAACCATATTCAATTTGAAGTATGTTATAAGATTACCCGTTTTCTCATTGGTGATGATCTCAGAGGGATCAGATTGCTGTCTTGACAAATATTTTAAGCACTGAAACTGTATGAGTTTAGTTCTACCCACTCTTGTCCATTTCAAGGGACTGCAGCATCTTCATATGAAAAGTGTTCCACAGGAATAATGTGTGTGTTCTACCTCATGCTTGTCCAACTGAATCATCTAGTAATTGTTCCTTAAATCTGACAAAATTTTGTCCCAAAAATGTGTACAATTTTAGCACAGTCCTAAACAATTTCTCTGTGACAGTTTGAGACACTTCATTTCATGTACTCTTGTGCAGATCTATAAATACTGCTTTTACCAACTGCTATGTCTAGTTCTCTTTTTGTTCTGCTGAGGTTTTATTCTAAACTAAATACAATTTTGTTACTGAAATAGATGGAGGTTTTTATCTTTTATTTTTCTCCTCAGGAATTGCTTTCTGTCTGCTTTTTTTAAATCAACTATATGGAGGCAGTTTAGCTTCTGCAGACTTTTAAAAGGGTATATATTCTTTAAGCTTTTAATGAGTTATTCCAAAGCATAATTAAAAAAAAAATACAACTATCACAATAAAATGACCACATTTAAATAACTATTAAACTTGGACAGTAAAAACAAGTCTTCTTTAATTTTTCAGGACATCTCTTATAATTAGTTTTTTTATTGTGTCTTCATGACACTATAAACCAATTGCCAGCACTGTTATATGGGTCAGTTTACTTACTTAGGTCCACACATACACTCCAAGCCTATGAAATGCTCAGCTGAGAAACCCCATCGTAGATGGATATCGAAGGATTGAAGGATTGAGGGTCCAAGTCCATGTAGTACTTTGCTGTGTCTCTCAAAGCTGCCCATGACTGACTAATCTGAAGCAGATAAAAACAGGAAAGAATATTCTCAGCTTCAATACTGAATAAATGCAGTGTGTGACTAATGAGCAGACAGGAGTCACAGACAACCTTCCCTGTGCTGATAAATCAGACAATTTTCCTCTTTTGCCCCAAAGGATTTATGTGGTGTGTTGAGTCCACACCTGTACTTTATTTTTTTTCCTATAGATGCTGAAAGGTGATGGAAGAAAATACCTGTTCAGCCACAGAGTGTGCCCATGAATTCTGGCTGCTGCTTGGGTCCCAGGAGCTCTGAGGATATAGTATGTGTCGTTTAAGTCGTATAAATTGATTTGCTGATTCTTCTGTCAGAAAAGGTGCTCCAAGGACACCTGAAACAGAAGCTGATAAATATTTGTAATGTTATAAAAATATTTTAGAATGTGCACTTCAAAAAACATGTTTATATCCAAGGAACATGGGTTTGGACCTGTAGTTTATTTAACAGAAATCAAAGATGGTCCTACCTTAGAAATTAACTTCTTTTTTTTAGGCCTGAAGTTACTAAAACAGGTGTTCTAAATCAATATTTTGCTGTTGAAGCCAAAGCAAATAAAGTTACAATCTAACTAAGGCATTAATAAATTTTTAATACAAGATTTTGCAACAAAACATTCTCTTAGACTGGAATTGCACTAGTGTCAGGTATGCTGAGAAGCCTGAAGTTTTTTAAAAGAACTCTAAACCTACCTATGGATTTAACTACAGTTTCTAAACTTCCTAGCTTATATATAATATTTATTCTTATTAGTATCACCATAGAAATTGCAGACATGGAAATTACTTCATAAACAGAAGGTATTGCAATTCTAATCTTGTTATTGCATTGCTTCAGATGGCTTCTGAGGTCACCACAGATGCAGAAGGACTTCTTGCAGATCTTCCTGGAATAACCTTTCTGCCCAAGAAAAAGGTCTGAATTCCTTGTTAGCTTCATATGAAAGGCCCTGGTACAGGAAAAATCTTTTCTTTTTATTCTTGGGTGTTTGAGACATAACTTAATTTGGGGCTAATAATATAATAATGGCCAGTCTTCGCGAGCGAAGATCCGGGGAAGGTCTTTCCACCTTCCAGCCTGTGCATTGGATTTTTTAGGTGAGACACAGTGTGCGCAGAACTGAGCCCACCCTTTAACCTAAGGTTCATCTGCCGGGGCCAAGCAAGCTTGGACGGTGGCAGCGAGGTCCTCAGGACGTAGATGTATTGCCTTTAAGGGCTAATGAGCTTCATCTGCCCGGGAGTGGCCCTGACCGGGAATCGAACCCGGGTCTCGGCGGTGACAGCGCCGCGCCCTTAACCACTAGACCACCAGGGGCTCCAACTGGTTCAAAATAGCATATCAATTCAAATCATACATTTTTTAATGAACCATGATTAAGTTGGAGCTCGATCCATGAGCCAAGCTGAGGCCAGTGTCTGTAAACAGCTGTGTTCCAATTTAGTGAAGTTTTAAATGGACACCTGGGGGTGATCTGCACATGGTTGGTACAGATGGGCCAAGAACTTGAACCCCTGTCTGTTAGGTGTTACCATGGGAGCTCAGCAGGACAAGTTATCACCTCACTCACAGCTCTCTAATGCCCTTATTTCTGAATTTCTGTGGGGAAAATCTAACTGAGAATGTCAAACATCTGCTTTCCTGCACAATGATCAGCTGAATCCAGTTCACTTGTAATTATTACTGGCTTTCCTGATCACCCACAATATCATTGCTCATTAGTTTTTTTTAAATAGAAGAAAATGTATGCTGAACGCATAAAGGTAGAAGATAAGTAAGCTAGAGTGTTTGCTGCTCTCTTTTACTTTGTTTGTTTTCAGTGCCAAAATTGCTTGAAAAGAAGACAAGGAAAAGCTTGATTGTGCAGTAATGAACCAAAACAAAAAAAGGAATTGAATGTGCTTGTCATCTTCAATTCCTAACAGAACTCAAATAGTCTCCTAACAGACGTCAAATAGTACTTTAGAAAATTTACTTAGCAAGCAACGAGAGTCCCAATAGTTCCTTCCTACTTCAGTTTCCTCATGTTCCAAGTTACTATAATCATAGACTGGAGGTAGAAGTTTTAGGTTAGGAAGTTTTCAAGGAATGTGATATTCAAAAATGTTACCAACTCCATGGAAAAAAGTAAGTTCAGACATTTGGTGTGAAGACTCATGTGTGAACTGCTCTCTCCCTTAGGGAACAGAGGAATAGCTATTTCTGTACTTCAGAAAACAAGATTTTGGCCTGTGGAAGAAGAAAATATATTTTATGCATATGTCTATTAAGCTGTTATACTTCTATTCCAGAGCTGCACAAGAGAAAACTAAGCTTATGCCAATTTCAATATTTCTCTGGCAATTTACTATTTTCCAATAGAAAAATCTATGAGCTGTTGAATTCTCTTTAGTGAATTGTAAATTTGTGATTTTTTTTTTTTTTAATATTAAATATTTTGTAAGCTCATGATTGCATTTCTGGACTGAGATAACTGAACTGGGATCAGAAATTGACTCAGTAACAGGCTTCACTTTTGTTTAAATGCCTATATAGTTAGTAAGGGCTATTAAACATTAAATTTTATCACCAATGTCTGCTCTGGCCTTCCAGATTTAAAGTAAACTGGAAAAAAAAAAAAAAAACAAAACAAAAAAAAAAAAAAAAAAAAAAACCAAAACATTAAGCAGTTCTTCTTCTTGTGGTTTTTTTTCCTCACTGCCAACATCTTCAAAAAATGAGCTTGTAATTCTGCTGGTGGGACAGTGAGGTGTTGTCTTCACTACTGTGCTGCAGAGCGCCATGTCTTAAGGGTATTATCTTTCAATTTTTAACAAACAGTCTGCTCTGGCTGCACCTGTATCCAATGAGGGTTGCCATTCCCAACCATGCTGAGTATTCACTTTGATTAAAGTGCACTTGCCTGCTCTGAGGAGAGGCAGGTGTGTCAGCTCTGTTGGTGGCTTCTCTTGTCAGTGTTAACACCCAGTTCTTGTTCTCTTCTGGAGGCTCTCTCATGTTCTTTCACCTCTCACATTTAGCACCTGTAAGCAGTGTCTGCAGGACTCGTTCCCAGCTGCTGGGGCACTCCAAAGATGCATAAGTACCAGAAGAACTGAGGTAAGTGCCTTTATATTTCAGCTAATCCTTGAGGCTTAGCTCATTCTCTCTTCATCTTACTGTAAAACTCATTATAAGACTCTGAACAGGGCAAAATTCATTCACCTACAGGAAAGTGAGACTCTCTCTAGTGAGACCATTTATGGTGAAACCAGAAATATCCCTGCTGGTCTTTCACTCTGACCACACAGACAAACAGGGTTGCACATTTGCTTGTGCTCTGGCAGATCTCTAGACCTGGGGGCATCAGACCAGATGTCCCCATCTGAGTAGCCCCTCTGAATACAGTGTATAGTTTTCATCAAATAACCTGTGTCTTGCCTCAGTTTAAGTTCCTTGGACTGGATGTAATTTTTCCCTGGCTTTTGAACATCTTAGTAAAATATTGTGGAAGAGTTTGTTGCTCGGGTGGATGTTTTATAAACACAGGCTATTCAGGAAGGACTGCAGCTCTCCATCTTGTAGAAGATTAGCACACAAACCAGGAGAATAGAATCTCAGAGCATCTGGATGTGAGACTAGAGGGAGTTTGGAGCAGGTGGGTAATGTTAATGACATGGCTCACAGTGCATAAAGTTGAGTTCCAAAAAAATGAAGAATTTCAACTTGTTCCGAAACAGTTAACTCACTATAAAGAGCAATCAGGACATATTATAAGTTAATGTTTTTATTCAATACTGTTTTCCCTCTTTTCCCTTAGATAAATATGTTATTTGTAAAGCACATTTAGGGATAAATGGCCCAGTGGGAAAATAGGAGGAACGTGTGTGGAGGGGGAACTATTGCAGAGGTTGTATCAGCTGTTACCAGTTAGAATGTTTCCTTTTATCATCTCTTGAAGATTCATTCAGTGTTCTCATATGAAAAGCAAATTATAGAAAAACTGGCTGGTTTTAGCAAGCAGATGCTTAGCTCATGTAATTATTGCCTTCAGCAGATAGTTTTGTCTATCCTGCACACCTAAAGAGATTGTCCAGAGGGAAAACTATTAGTAATCATTCTGCTACGGTGCCTTCTGAGTATCTAATTTTGGATTATTGTGATCTGATATAAGACTAAACTTGAGAGAAGGGAGATACTGGTAGAACCTTGGCATCGTTGTCAAAAAAGAAAATATTTATTTAGTATTGACTGTAAAAACTGATTATGAAAAGCAAAACTGATTATAAAAAGGCATACTTGGAATGTCAAATTAAAAAGTATTACAGTATAGCAAGCAAACTGTACTTAAAATATAAAATCAACCTGGATAGATCTTAAATTATTTTGCATTAAAATCTCTTCATACTAGACTCAAATGGAAGATAACTGTCTTGTGCAAGGATAGGTTTCTAGAAAGCAAGATACTTATCTGGGGGCACACAGAAAATCTTCCCAGGAAGACACCCATTTCTATTAGCTGGATGTACAATGATCCACTTCATCACGCAGTCAAAAAGGTGAGTATGAGATTCAACTTTGACACATTTTCCTGCTTAGGCTTTTTTTTTAAAAAAAGCTAGCAGCATGAGCCCTTGTGTGCTTAACAGTCTGAGGACAACAGGCAAGCCACTATTTGCATGTCTAATGGCAAAGTTAAATGATAGGACAAACCTTTAAACTTGCTTTAGTGTAGGATATGCTTTTGTTTCTCCTCCCTACCCGAGAAACTTTTTTATCTAGTAGTATTTTATAAGTGATGAGAAGCAATCTCAATGCTTGGGACCAAAATTTACACCTAGTGTGCATCTACCACAGGGAAAAGAGGTTTGTCTCTGATTTGCTGTGATATTTACAAAAAAAAAAACAAGTGACAATTACTTAGCAGCACTTCAGTCAGTCTCTGTGCAAATTGTTACATAAACTGAGACTATTTGTTTCTCCCTTGTTTCTGAAGACTATTGCAAGTTTCTGACAACCTGAAAATCTATTGCTGAAGTTAATATTGATAGAATTTAAATGTCAGAAGTTTGCAATTGTTCCGGCTCCTATCCTTTTAGTCTCATTACTCTTCTTGTTATCAGCTTAGGTGACTGGTCAAAATGTCAGCCCATGGGGCTAAGGCTGCCAGTCTTATCAACACTTTAGCACAGGGTTTGGACAGAGACTAAACTTGGACAGAGCTAAACTTCAACCTTGCTGAGGTGGCAGGTGCTGACGTGTTGGGAACTTTGAAAAAGTAAATCAAATGCTGCAGCTCAGGTGTGTTTCTTAAGGTTAGCTATGAGCCAAAATGGATCACCTCCCCTTCATTCTTCAGCTATCTAGCTTTCTAAATTTAAAGTCATGAAGTCAGACCACAGAACTTGGGATGAGGACTCAGAATCCACAGCACAACAGTGCAAGTGCTGAAAAACAGGTGTGGAAGTAGCTGTGTTTTTCCTCACTCAAGTATTTCTCTAGGTTGTGTGGCACTCCACGGAAAACAAGATGTGGTTCTCTGTCAGTACTTTGCATATATGGCTGGATTGCAGCAGGGATAGACTTTTGGATTCTTGCAGGCCACCTCTGGCCCAGACACCACGTTTTTTCAGTAGAAAAGTGCAATTCCATTAAAGTCTAACACCTGTATATTGCTTTTTCAAGTGTTAAAAAAGAAATACATATATGTACATTGGCTTTGTACCCCATAGTGTCTGGATGTTAACAGGCCTTAGAATAAAATTAAATTAGTCAGATTTGCTAATATCTACTGATTTAAAGTCACTGATTTTTTAAGAGCTTCAATGCTGTTCACATCACGCAGTCTTTGAAATTTTGGTCTCATCTGTTTATTTTCAAAGCTTGAAGTAAAATAGTCTTTATTCTTTGACAATTGTAATTTTATATCACAGGCCACAAGAGCTCTGTGGTTCAAGAGAAGAGAGCTCAGTCAATAACAGTCGTTAGAGCTACAGCATCAGCCTCATTCCCTCATCAGCAGAGGCAGACAAGTTACAGACATTTAAAGCAGAATTAACTATTGAACATAGTTCTGGTGTGATGCCAGGGGTCAGAAAAGTTGTCACATATGGGTAAATAATAAGGCAATTTGGCAAAAATCCTAGATAATCCTAAGGAAGGAACTACTTTCTCTGCAGAGAAATGCATTGGTCCACTCAGTGGGTCCTGTTGAATTTTCCTTTCTAAACCCATATGCGGCTATCAGTTTAACCTTGAATGAATGGGCAAGACAGCCCCATCAGACATCCAAGAGATGTTAGTAATTATCCCAGTGCCAAGGGATCACCCTTGTACTCCATCCCTTGCTGATGCACTCTGCAGAGGCTAAAGGAAAAGGTCCAGAAAGCCTATTTCCAGAGATGTGACTGTGGTTTACTATGAGGAGTGATTTATAAAAGCTGAGTTGAGGATATGATGAAAAGTTAGATTCTTATTAGTGAATCTTACAGCTTCTGTTTTACTTCACCACCACCTTCATTGTTGCTGAAAGGATTCGCAACTAATGAAAAACTGAACTGTTTGTGATCAATGAAACTTTTAAGAGCTCATTAAAAATCAGTAATAAGTAATTCTGCCTGCCCTTTGAAGAACAGGAACCTGGGAAAGAGGGAAAACAAGACTACTTTAATCTGACTTTATGTCTCTTGCCTTTCCTAACAAAGTCTTCCAAAAGGAGGGGCAGCAAGCTGATGTGTTCCCAGCATGACTTCAGGTGACACTGTTTGCGTCATGATGGCCTTCAGTGGAAAGGAGGTGAAGTTCAGGATAGATAAGTCCCTAGGAATGGTCCAAGTTCGCGTGCACAGAAGATCAGGAAGCACAAATAAGGGGGAAAGAAGGTTTCTAGGTTAACTCTGACTTGCAGGAGAGAGAAAGTCCCTTTCCAACTCCTTGCCTTCCTACAGAGTTTCACTGCAGGCAAAACTCAGGATCGTATGACAAGGAAACTAATTTGGCCCAAAAGAGCGATTACACCTGGCTGTGGTCCCAGTTCAGAAAATGCCTTTTTCATTAATTCATGATTGATATTGGCTAATTCTATCTCCCTCATTTTATCTTAGCTGTTCACATCATTTATTTACTGCATGTGTATTGGAGCACTCAGGTCTAAGAAATGCTTTTAGTTCTTACATGTGGATAGAGCATCTTTCTATGGTGCAGGCAATCACCTGAGATGTCAACAGTCACTGCTTTGTTTGTTCTAATTTAATGAGAAATAAATTAATCTCTCAGCATGTGCATCACTGATCGTTGACTGTAGCAGTGTGTGCTGCTTTGGGAAGAGCGTGTGACAGCCCTGCCCCATCCATTTTCCCTCTGGTCCAAGTTTTATAGGTTGAGTCTTGATTGTAGGTGCCCTGGTTACAGGGTACTGTGAAGGATCAGTGATCAGACAGCCTGAGCTCTTTAAAAAAAATAGTCTCCTTAAGCCATTCAAATCAGGCATCCCAGAAATCACTTGCAACATAGATCATTTTGGGTCCTTATAAATGCATGTGAAATTGTTTCATGTAAACAGTAAATGTTGAGATCAGAATAATATTTAGAGAAGATTCCATAGAAACAGCGTTAAGCTCTTTCTACAATTTTAACAGTTCAGGAAATCATCCTGCAAAAATGCCTTTCAGTCATAAATGCATCCTCGCTCCTTATACATGAGGGCTGAGCAGTAAAAGGCTCAAAAGTAGTCACGAGGAGCAGAATCAAACTGTATTTCACAGAATTTGCCATGCAATCTTGTGTTCACCCACTCTCCCATATGTCCCTGCTGCAGTGATTTCCAGTTAATTCTCTTCCATCAGTGCTGTTCTGGTCGTGACACAGGGGTTTTGCCAGGTGACTATTAACAAGGCAGAAGGGAGTGACATGAGACAGGATGCCAGGCACTTACCTGCAAACAGCAGAGCAGACACCAGAATTTGAAACATTTTCAGAGACATGGCAAATTATCCAGAAAGGGTTTCCTTTGTGAAGTGAAGACAGTGACACAGTTTTATACTTTGTTATCTGTAGGTTTATAAATCATTCACCAGATACGTGTAAATCGTTGGTGCAGGCAGAGGGCAGGGTACAGTGCTTAGTTCACATTTGTCCTATATGCCTCTGTTTGTACACTTTGGACTTTGCAAACTGGGTCTCTAATGAGCCATAATGGCTCGTTATTGTGTGGATGCATTTACTTCTCCATAATTTTTATGATGCAAAATAGCCCATTGGGCTTGTTCTCTGAGCTCTGAACAGGCGAACCTCAGTGTATCAGTCTTCTGCATGTTTATTTCCCCTCATTTTGGTGATAGGCACAAGCATTTTATAGTTTGGTGTGAATATGAATGGCATTTGAATCCGCCTGCTCTGAGAGCTGTGCCAGTTTGCCACATATTTTAGCTTTTATAGTGCTTGGGTTGAGGAAATAAATGTATGATAAAATTGACTGAGAAAGTACTAAGGCAGAAGGAAAGAGGGAGATGGATTCCTGTCCTGAACCAGGCAGAGGTCCCCAGGTCTCATGTTGCCTTTGCTGGTTTAGGACTCTGTAATGTGGGACACTATGAGTTCATGCTGTCTTACCTTTCCCACCTCTCCAGATAGCTGTTGCCTTTTTATAGACAGCTCACTTGTTGGCAGCAGTTGTTGTACCACAGACCAGTTTATCTTCATAAGCTCACCTACAGTGATGATAACAGACCACAGAAAAGCTGAGCTTTATTGCACACTGACGTGAGTTGATCTGCAGTTCATCATCACAGGCGTGCGTGTACCCAAAGGGCTTTACGTCGGGAAATTAGACTCTGTTGACGTTACAGGTCAGGGACCAGACTCCACGCTGATGGGCAGTTGTACTTCATTCCTACATTCACAGCCAGAACTGTCCTGTCTAGATGGTGGATGGACTAAAGGTTTGTTGGGAAGCAAAAGAGCATTTAGTTATGTAGGTACAAAGTCTTACAGCTTTGTGTTATTATATATGGGTGGGCAGGAGGGGAGACTATTGAACAGCAGGTCTAACAGTGTGATCCTTAACCTTGATGTAGGTCCCATCAACAGTTTAGTATTATTTTAGCATTGTTTAAAAAAAAAAAAAATCAATGCATCCATCCCAGGTGACGAAGCATGCATGGAGGCAGGTGCTCTGCATTCTGGTGCCATCTTAACAACAAATATTAATTATCCAAAGTAATGATCTGTTTTCTCACCCCTGAGATTCTAAATTAAGTCTTAGATGTCAGCATTTTTGTGCACTAGCACAAAAGGTGTAAGGAAGGGGACATTTGCCAATAGGTGACACAGATGGATGTGGCAGACAAGCTCTCAAGAACTGTAGATCCCCCAGAAAAAAGTTCCAGGAAATCATACAAGTTATCCTTTCATCTTACATGCTTTCTGGGCCATCCTCTCCAACCTCTTACATGGACCCGCCTTTCAATTGCAGTTTGCCTCCCACAGGGAGGTTTTTCCTCACAGTTCCTGGTATAATGACTGGAAGAATGCGTTGGTATGCCATTTTATATTTATTGCAGTTTTGTCTTCTTTAATTTGAAGCCTGCTTATAAAGAACAGTGCTGGGGATATGTCATAGGTAGAGAGACAACAGCAGCCAGTAAGACTTCACTGTTACCTGGAAGCAGATCACAAGGAGTTATGCTAGACTGAAAACACAAATCCAAGTCACCTACTCCTCTTATTTCTTCTTAGGTAGCAAGAGAAAGAGATAAGAAAGATTTTTCAGGAACAAGAGTTGAAAAAAATGGTAAAACAGTTAAAAGCCACAGATCCCAACAGATCCTGAGTAAACTAAGGCTCTAAGAACCTAAAACAACCTTGCTTTTGCCATTTCTAAATAAAACTTGCCACATGCTGGAGAATGTGACTTGTATCCTTAACTGATGAAGCCTTGACTCTGTTATAGAAAAAGTCCTCAGAGAGAGACACAGAATGTCTTCAGGTGGGGTCACAAAACATGGTGGGGATGTTGCAATGACTGGATTTAGACTCTGAGTTCAGAAGAACAGAAAGCTTACCCTGCTGTAGAGTGGGACAGCAGTCAGCCAGTTTAGATTATGATACAAGATCTCTGAAGAAGCTAAATTGCAGACAGCATATCCCCTTAGACCTATAGATCCATGACACCTGAAAGCTCCTCCTGTTTTCCTATGTTTCATCTCTTATCCTGTCATCTTTACTTCTTTGTCTGATTTAGGTCTTGCTCCTGGCCCCTAATCTTCCTTGTCTAGGCTGCCCAACTCTGTGTTCTTCCCCTGAGACTTGTTTTCCCTCTTATTCTGTGCACTTCAGTTTTACGTAAAATGATGCTGCGCCCATAAAACCCAGCATCTTTAGACTGAAGAATTTATAGATCTCTCATGAGGAGAGTGGCTTTCCAGTGTCATTTCCCTTTCCTCCTTTCATATGTGTCCTGCTTCCCATGCACACATGGTGTACAGCCTTGAGGTTCATTCCCTCCCTGCCTCCAAGCCCAGCCCTGCTATTGCCGAGTCTCATTTCTGCTGAGAATAGTCAGTGTTTTTCCTGAAGCCCTGCAATGTATATGTAGTTTGGGGTTGCATATGCCCCACTGGCTCACGTACAGAAACTTTTAGAAGACAGATGATTTCTTAGCTCTTCTTTGAGGCCATTATATAGACAATCTGGATATCACTAAAAACTCATGAAAAGCACGAATTTTTTTCATTGAATGTAGAATTTTAGCTGTTAAACAGTAACAGATATGCATGCTGCAATTTTTTGGAAGATTCAGAGCTCGGCCCAATGGCTCAAATTTTTATATGGAGGAATGAATCATTGTATCATTTCCATATGATGCCCTGCCTTTCTTGTGAAATTTCTATTCCCTACTTCAAAGCACGGAAAGCTCAGTCAAAAGAGGTTGTCATCAGAATATTCAGTGCAAGTTAAATTTCACACCACACATCCTTGTTTCATCTGGAGAAGTAGCCAAGATACTGGTTAAAATGATTTAAAAAAAAAATCCAGTTTGATGCAGACACCTGACATAGTAAAAATAATTTAAAATTTAAAACAAAAACAAAACCTCAGACCAAATTATAAAACTTTAACTGAGCTATAGGCAAGTGAAAGTAGAATTATCTGAAGGGACATTTGAGGCAATCTACGTTGGCCCCAGCCCTATCAATAAGGTGTAAGGTAGGTTTCAAACACCAGAACTTTAAGTTAGATAAAATCAGAACATTTTTCCTTTTACATTTCTTAATCCTAGATGGTAAATCACCATGGCAGGGGAAAGATTTGTGTTCTTCCTCTGCTAGTATAAATTATTTTTCTTTAAGGAAAAATACTAACATCCCAAACTGTAGGTCATTATAGCTGAAACAGTTATAGCAAGAAAAAGAAGAAAAGAGGTTGAACTCATCTTAAAAAAACATCCTGAGGAAGATGATGATGACTGGCTATACAATGAGACCTCTGTCTTCTTGAATTATTTTTTATTGTATTTTTCACTAGTGAAGGAGTTGTAAAATATCTGAGAGGGGAGCTGAACATCCCTAAGATTGCTTGTTGCTTCAAGTTTATTGAAATCAGATAATATATAAAGTTATTGGGAAGGAGAAAGCAGGTAGGAAATCTTATATATAGACTGGGTTTGGGAACAAAAAGGTAGATAAAGTTGAACAATTTGGGCTGGAAAATCCACATTCTTTTTTTCCTTGGCACCAGATTCACACCTGCACAGTAAATCCTAATTCTTTTAGTCAAATTTCACCATCTAAGTATAATGCTAATCCCTAAGGTTTTGTAAACCTTAAAAAAAGTTAGATAAACCTTAAAAAAAAAGTTAGATAACTATGTAACTGCCAAAAAATGTAATCTTCTTCTGGTGTTGTTAATATCAAATTCCTCATTTGTTTCAGCTTGTCTAACATTTGCCAGTTTTGTTTGTTTATCTCTAAGGCATCTTTGATTTAAGTAGATGTGCCTATACCTATACCAGTGTTTAACTTTAATGTTTGAGTATCTGAAAATATCTGTTGTGTTGCTGTGGTATCTTTTTGGAATAGAGATGAGACAAGTGCAAGGTAATATTTAAAAGGAACTTGAAACATATGGAATATGTGAAAAATCTCTCTCAAAACAAAGGAAGCTTAGTGTTTAGTGTTTCTTGATGGATTCTCAATACCTTAGTTTTGTAACCACATTTAAAATACAGATGAACTAGGTACAGTATTGAACCCTGCACCTTACTATTATTTGAGTAACAATAGTTACTTCTGTTATTTTTGTCTCATGGGAAGAGCCTGGCTACGTAATTCTGCATCCTATTTCTTGCTTGGTGGAAAGGTAGGAAGGCTAAAGTTGGACTGTTTGCAGTATGGACGCTGCTGCTGTTCAGTAGAAAAGATGATCCTTGGAAGGAGTTATGAGGAAGTGCTGGGGGATTTTCAGCATTTTGGGGCAGTCGGTAATTCCGAGTTACTATTTTCTATATTCTGCCCTGCTGCCTCTGAGCACACAAGTCTTGGAAGACACCTGCCATCAGCCTGGCACTAAAGGCATGTATCCACATGAGACCTTTGGGCAGCACTCTGGTTCCAGCCACGAGCAGTGCTACCAACACTCTGGTTCCATCCACCACAAGCTGTGCAGGGGAGGATGCCTCTCCAAAGTCATCGCTGTTGACTGACCTGCCTTCATAAAATTTTCCCCCTTAAAAAAAAATACACTACCTCCTGTTTTTCCAAAGTGGTGGTATAAAGGCAGTTTGTATAAATCTATGTGCAGTGGATTTGAGCTGAGACCTACAGGGAGGTCTAATGTGAGCAAGTTAGCAGATCTTTTATTGGCCATTACTTCAAATACCTGTCATGTTTTGAAGTAAGCCTACTAGCATATGGTGAGATGTTTAGCACAGCAGGACTGTGCACTTTACACCTTCTGACTGGGAGGTGTGCTTTTGTTCAGCTTTTTATTCCAATCAGCCACAGCTCTTGATAAGCCCATGTCTGCCTGTGATGGACAGCAC